ACTCGCCCAGTGGTAACTCGCTCGCTTGGGAAACGGAGTGAAGTGGGTCAAGTTCCGGGTCTCGCAACTGATATTTTCATGTGCGAATCATTTCTACGAGTAACATGATTACCACTTGTCTTACGGTGAAGGATAACATCGTGAGGAAACCAAACATGTCATGAACATGTCTTAGAGACATGCTTAGTCCGCCCGCACTTGGCCAGCGTGGTGGACTATGGCCTGATTCGCCTCGTATTGAAGGGAGCCCACCCCCAGCTGTGGGACATTAAAAAGAGCTAAATACATACATACATACAAATAAAGTTTCACCGTGCGGAAGACAGTTTCCGAGCGTAGGACCGAGAAATCCTACCATTTTATTTGTTGGACGATGTGACCACTCAATTATGAACATTTTTAATAATAAATATTATGAAAATCAGCCGGTTATTAATCAATTTTATGCTGTTGTTATTTTAACAAGTTCGGAGAGTGGGACGATTTGATCCGAAGCATCTGTTTTGTAGAACTATTTTTTTTTATTGTTTTATGTTAGGTTATCTCAAGATTAAATTGTAAAACAATCTGTATGTAATAAATTTTAGACAATCACCATTTCGATATGTTCCGTATCAATCCACAATTGTATTTCGCACTATCAAATTTTCGTAGAAAGAGACTTACGTAGAGAGAGAGAGAGTTGGGAGTCTGCCGTCTCGTCAAAACGAAGCTACTCGTGAAGTTTTAGCTTGTTATTAATCACTAGCATTGCCCGCGGCTCCGCCCGCGTTCAGATGACCAAAAACCAAATTCTTACATTTTACATATTAGTATACTCTTACATTGCAGTTTTTGTATTTTTTCTCAGATATGAGATATTTTCCCGCGGTAAAAAGTATCCTATATGTTGACCCGGATAACCAGCTACCATCATACCAAATTTCATCAAAATCTGTCCAGTGGTTTTCTCGTGATGCGGTAACAGACAGACAGACAGACAAAAATACTAAAAACTATAGATTCGGACTCTGTATCGATAATAATGTCTATTTCAATAAGATTTTCCAAAAAATATTTAATGTACAGATTCGACTAATTTACAATTTTATTATATGTATAGATTAAAAAAACGTAGACTATTGTCTTTAATTAGTTTATGTAAATTTTATTCTTTATTATAATAAAACCCGTTAGCTATTTTTATTTATTAACATATATTTACTTATCACTACATACAAATGTCATTTGTACACTGTTTTAAAATGTTATATATTATACTAGCGTTTTCCTGCGGCTCCGCCCGCATAGTACATTAATCACCAACATATATACTAAAACCTTCTCCAAAACACGCTGCATCTTATGGTATGAGTATTATTCCGATCGGTTCACTGGTTATCGCAGTATAACCGAACAAAAAAATCGGCTCTCCATTTGTTAGTATTTTAAAAACATTATTTTTTGGCTTCATATTTAATTTTATTATACTATGTCTATATTATTTCTTAGTCTACACTCTACATGGTAAGATTTAAAAAGAGAAGAATGAAGTGTTATATTATGTTTGTCTATCTGTCTGTCTCTCTCTCTTTGTTTGAAGTCGCCTAATTTGAAAATGCATTTTAAAGCTATTTTTTATTGTACATGTAATGTAATGCATGTCTGTGATAGAAATATTTGCTAAAACTAATTGGTTCTGCACGTCGTGTTAAAGTTAACGTGATGGCATGTAAAAAGCGCCACCTAGTCGTAGCCTTAGGCAACACTTTTTCTCTCATAATTTGTCAATAAATAGGCTATAATCAATGCAAAAAGAGTTTTTCAAATCTGGTCAGTAGATCCAGAAATTAGCGCTATCAAACAAAATCTTAGCTTTATAAGTATTTATGTATGTTAGTACAGTGGTATTCTAATCTTATAATACCAAAACGAGCAACTCTTGTATATAAATTTAGTTAGTGTATTTCGAATTCGGCTCTAACGATTTGGATCAAATTTTGTATTTAGATGAGGTTTTGCTTTTTAAGTTTATTTATTAATAGGTATTTTTTCTGATTTTAGTACTAGTTTTTATATTTTTTCCCGAAAACACACAACGTTTTCGTTCGTCCGTCCGTCTTTATCGTTTGTTCACAAAATTTTACGAGATTCCGAGCGAAGCTCAATCGCCCAGATAATAAAATTCAAATCGACCCATTACAAGAACAAAGCCAAACGGACGAATGATGCGTGTAATCTTAGTGTTTAGATTTATCTCGTTTATATACAGGACCCCAAATTTTTTTGCCCTAAAAATTCAATGATTTAAATCAACAGCAAAAATAACACGCGACGTCGCGTCGCGACGTTCCGATCAACAGATGTTTTTTGTACAAATGCACTTTTAATCAGCGACTTTTTACGCGATACAAAGAAATAAGGAGGTCATTTGTAATTAATTATTCGAGTAATATTAAATACTTTGAATTTTAATAATTGACTGTCCGCGTACTGACAGGGTTTGAATAATGATTTAGCTTTTTTAGCGTCCCACTGCTGGGATGGGACTCCCATCAATAACGAGGGGATCAGGCTAGTCCACTACGCTGGTAAAGTCCTCTTTTTTTAACATTGGGATACGCATTTAGGCACGAGGTGTGGGACTCATCGGCAAAGCCAGTATTACCCACTAAAACCCAACAAAACCTCCCCCGTCTTAATGGGGCGTCGCAGGATCGCTTACGCACTCAATAACGACGCTCCGACGGCAGATCTGCCGAGGCAGACCACAACAACCATGGGGTTGCTCCACAGTCCACTCTGCTATCAGAGAAGTACCAGGAGCAACCCGCATGGCATACCGCCCACCGAAGAGAACCACCTCCCACCGCCCACCGAAGTAGGCCACCTCACTGTGCGTTTCTTGGCTTCGCGCCCGGCTGAACTGCCGGACGCTAATGAGCTTCTTTCTTGTTCTTCGTTATCTTATCCTGTTAGGAAAATGTCGAGGGTAGTCCCTATGTACATTTTTGTTTACATATTTCATTGTGACAAACAAACACACAGTTTATAGTTACCATTATTTGTATTTATGATTTATTTTATTCTTATTAATTATTTTTTTAATAAATTATTAATTATTAAAAATTAAATTAAATCAAGAAAATAATTTTTCATCGTACCTCTTAAAAAAGATAAGAATGACAAGACCTGTTTTTTATAGGGTTTATATTACGTAGAAAACGTGTTTTAATGCATATTTTATGATTTTAATTTGAATTCGAATTTAAATTAATCTAACAAAAAATATGTCGAATATGTAACCTGTTTCTCAAATAATTTAATTTTGTAAATAAATAGAAATAGGTCAAGTGCGAGACTTTGCATGCTTAGTTTTTTTATACTGTGGTCTGTGACATAGTATGATAGAAACGCGATATTAATAATATTAATGTCTTATAAAGGTTCCTTCAGATTTTATTTATATTTTTCATTAGATTTTTGTTTTTTGTTAGTTTTTTTTTATCTATATTCAAACAGACTTAATCATTTATTATGAATCGTCAATTAAATTTAAGAAGAGTCAGTGTAGTCTGTCCGTGAGGAAGCTAACATCGGCTAGGAAAGCAGTTCTTCTGAGATAAGCCCAAGAGAAACTCGGTAACTGTTGAATATCCAGTAAATATCCATCCTTTTAAATATCCAGTTACATTATATTTATTTTGTTAACATAACATAGATAGCCCATATTTGCTTTATTTTTGATTCTAAATTCGCATTTATAAGACATGCTAACAGTTCACCCTCGATTCGGCCGGGTTCGCCTCTAGAAAAACAAATTATCCCACGGGAACCATACGTTGTTCCGGGATAAAAAGTTGCTTAAATGTTATTATAATGTATGAGCTATATAATTGTAAAGTTTCATTAAAATCCATCCAGTAGTCTTTGCGTGAAAGAGTAACAAACATTCATACATGTATATATACATCCTCACAAACTTTTGCATTTACATATAATATTAGTAGAATTTCAGAAACATCCCTAAAACCCAGGGCTGATATTCGTTTGTCTTTTATTTTTTAACAGCTAACTCGACGTTGTTATGTTCACATTTGAATGAATTTGTTGGTAGTTTTTGAGGTGATGCAAAAATCTTAAAAATAAACACTTCATAATCATATTGTCCCGAATTTCCCAGTTTTCTAGAAAAAACCAAAGTTTAAAAAAAAATACTTCAAATCGGTCCAGTTATTCTTAAATGTTGTGCTGTAATTAATTGTATAATAATGATGTTTTATCATTTAATGAGTCGTCATTTATAAATTATGACTCATTCAAATGATAACACGTCATTATTTTACAATTCATTTAAATCCATTGAGAGAGATTTTGTTCTTATAAATAAAAATAAATGGCTAAATGTGTTGCTAAGCCCAAAACGAGAACGGCTGGATCAATTCGGTAATTTTTTTCTTAGTCTATTCCTTAGACTTCAACGAATTCAAGGTTCTTATGAGGAGAAAAATTAGACAAAATTAACGGAAAAAAGGAAAATACACTTTAGTCCCGTGGGATATGAAACATAAAGTACTAGATATGCTAGAAATTAGACCTATCAGTAGCGGATTTGATGGTTGGTTTTGAGCTTTCTTGGAAAATTAAAAGAAGCTGGTACAAAGCCGGATTTCTCACCTCTTGAGTTTTCATGTGCGAATTATTTCGAAATATCACTCGCCTTAAGGTGAAGGTAACATCATGAGTGAACCTTTTTTTTAACATTGGGAAATGCATTTACGCACGAGGTGTGGGACTCGCAGCAAAGCCAGTACTACTCACTAAAACCTAACAAAACCTTCTGTCCTGCATGTCTGTTAGAACCTAGCAAGTTTTCGAAAGACGCTTCAAGTCTGCCAACCCACACTTGGCCAGCGTGGTGGACTATGCCTGACCCTGCTCACTTTAAAGGGAGGCCTACCCCCAGCAGTGGGACGTTAAAAATGCTGGAATATTGTTATATACTAAATTTCTTTTTTCAGGTCAGTGGAAAACATTGTCAAAAGATGCGGTACCTTCACAGAATCTGCCAAAATTGAATCCCGATGGTACAGTAATGGTTATAAGGAAAAGTCGCACCATCAAATATAAGGAGAGCAAAAAAGATGACACACTCAGGTAACATATATACTTTTTACATATAAGTCGACTATCATTTTCTAAAAATTCTTTTGGATTTGGTTCAGTCATTTTCAAGATTTTTTGAAATAATTTTAATATACTTTTTAAAAAGTAGTTTTTACAACAATTGTAGAATGATATTTTATATAAGCCCCTTGATTATCTTAAGTTAAAGCTCGAACGTTTCAGTTTTAAACCGAAAAGATATTTTACGTAAAACTAGCGGTAGGAAAACTAACACTGATTTATTCCACGGGAACCGTACAATTTTTCGGGAGAAAAAGTATTCCAAACCTATCTCGGTGCCAAATTTCTGCCGGATCCGTTCAGCCGTTCTAGAGTGATTGAGTACAAAACTTCCAAACATCCATCTAAATTTTCACATTTATAATATTAGTAAGATGTCAAACATTGGTGTAAATCTGAAACAGAACAATTTTTATTTTATTACAGCGATAAGGCAGAAAAATGGGCGAGTATCACACATTCGGCATTACCTTTATCTTCAGAAAGCCAGGAACATCAAGAAAACAATGTAAGTATCAAAATATCACAGTATAATCTATACAGTCTAATGAAGTGGTCTAGACAAGACATGTCTCGCGAGACGCGAGACATTCATATATACTCGACGACACGTTTGGCTCAGTTTGTAGTTACCCTACTTGCTTTGCCAGCGATCGCGGGTTCGAGTCCTGCTCGGGGCATTCATTTGTGTGATAAGCACGAATGTTTGTACTCCAGTCATGGGTGTTTATATTTATAATATATATGTATTTAAAGTTATATCTGTGTAGTGTATCAACTATCTGCTATTTGTTACATTAAACCTAAGTGCATGAACCGTAGGTGTTATGGGCGGCAGGTACCGCTTTTCCATCGGGTGGCCTGTTTGCTTTTTTATCACTTAGCACCATAAAAAGAGTGCGTCCCTAAATGCCTAACAATAGCCTATGTATTACTCCAGGTCATAGTTTATATGTGTAGTTCATCTAAATCTGTCCAGCCATTTCAAAGTGAAGGAAGAACAAACATACATACACACGTAAATACACGAACTTTAGTATTTATTATAGTACGATTTACAATGTTTTTTTTAATTCACAGATGGCGTATCGTCTTCAAGCTTTAAATTCACTCGCAAATAACATAAGTCCGACACAAGTTTTACCACAAAATCAATTAAATAAACCCAAAAAGCAAGACGCCATCATGCAAACAGATCCAATACAGTCTGAAGAAGAGGAAACTTATCAACACAGCTATACCGAATCAGAAAAATCGGTACCCGATATCGATTATAATCAATACAATGAAGAGATGAAGAAATATGAAATTCCAAAGGACTTTTCAAAGCCGAATGACGATTACATACCACAGACAAACGAAGAGTACAATAAAGAAGCGGAGAAATACGCGCTAGAGCGAAAATCGCATAGTAATTATGAGAAAATCGATTATCAGAAACCGATAATCGAGAACGGTTTCCCGAAAATACCGGAGGTTTACGCTTTTGATAAGGATTATCAAAATCGGCCGGACTTTTTGTATCAGAATCAAAATCCATATCAGGATAGTGTGGAACTGTTGAGGAACCAACAGCACAATCTTCAAATCTTGCAAGAACAGCATAGAGTTAATGAAAATCAAAATTTTTTCAACGAAAATCATATAAAGCAAGAAATTGACTTTGGCAATGATGAAGAAAAGTTTATCTATGAAGCGAATAAAGATCAGATTGGTAGGTTTTTTTTATATGTTACCGTTTTGATGACACGTTTGGCTCAGTTTATAGTGATCCTACTTGCTGTGTCAGCGGTGTTGGCTCGAGTCCCGCTGGGGGTATTCATTTGTGTGATAAGCACGAATGTTTGTACTCCAGTCTTGGGTGTTTATATTTATAATATGTATGTATTTAAAGTTATATATGTGTAGTGTATCAACTATCTGGTATCCATAACACAAGCCTCGTAGCTTACCATGGAACTAGATGGTGCTGTGTGTTAATGTCCCAACATAATATTTATTTGACAACTTGTTAGGTTCTCTCAGATATGCGGGTTTCCTCACGATGTTTCCTTCACCATACATTTCATAATGTATCGGTTATATTTTCCAAAGAAAAAATTAATTTTAGAATAAAGGGTTCAAAAAAAAAAGATTTTTCTAGTTCAAAATAATCATATACAAATTTCACATTTAATAATATTTTTTTTTCTTCTTCAATTTAGATACCAACACTTTGTATGAGAGTCAGAGTAACGTCGAACAACAGAGGTTGTTAGAGATGCAACATCAAGTGAAGCAAGAGCCGGACACGTCAAATGGTATAACTAACACTACCTAACTCACTAAATAACTACCTAACTCAATAACTAACGTACTAACTCACTAATGAACTAATTCACTAATTAACTCACTAACAAACTAACTCATTCATTAACTCACTAACTAATGGTTGTTAATAATGGATTTCGATATTAAGTTTTAACCCACCTTTGTAAATCATTTTGAAGTTGTTCTAGATCTTGATTAATAATCTATACATATAAATAAAATTGAAGTGTCTGTCTGTGATTGCAAAATAACTATGTTTTCTCAAGTATATAGTTATTTATATGATACCAGTACCTAAACTACTCTTTTTTAAATATTTGTCTGTCCATCTGTCTTTCTGTTTGTGTGTTTGTTCCAAAGATTACCCTTACTATTTTAAATGCGAAAGTTTGGATTGATGTTTCTTACTCAATCACGCCAGAACGGCTGAATGGATCCGGATGAAACTTGACACAGAGATAGATCATAGTCTGGAATGGCACATAGGTTACATTTTATCCCGGAAAAATGTACAGATCCCGTGGGATAGATTTGTTTTTGTTTATCACTAAGGATGAGTTCGAGCGAAGCGAGGGTGAGTTGCCAGTATTACATATATAACCCCCCCCCTTTTTTTTTTTTTTTTTTTAACGTTGGGAAATGCATTTACGCACAACGTGTGGGACTCACCGGCGTAATACAGCCAGTACTACCCACTAAAACCCAACAAAACCTTCCCCCGTCTTAATGGGGCGTCGCAGGATCGCTTACGCATTCAACTACGACGCCCCGACGGCAGGTCCGCCGAAGCAGACCATCACAACCATGGGGTTGCTCCACAGTCCACTCTGCTATCAGAGAAGTACCAGGAGCAACCCGCATGGTACACCGCCCTCCGAAGAGGGCCACCTCCCACCGCCCACCGAAGTGGGCAACCTCCCTGTGCGTTTCTTAGCTTCGCTACTGCTACTGAGCCCCCCCACCACGACAAGGTGAACGCACGTTGGGGGGGATATAACCCCCCCCTAGCAAAACAAGGGTATCTCGCTAATGAGTATATAAGTACTTCAAATCTTTTTCTATGCAAAGTAGTCAGTTAAATAGAGAAATATATGTGAAATAAGATCATTTTTTTTTTAATTTTAAAATTATTGCAGGATGTGAAAACGTAATGCAGCCACAGAGCAGTCCGTACTACGCAACGGGTGGATCTAATAATGTCACAGGTAAGATATAACAGTTTATTAGACGACATTGTGCAACATTTATATTTCACCTCTTTAGAAGATGATTTCCGTGATAAAAATTATCCTATGACCTTTCCAGAGTCTCAAACTATGTTCTTACCGAATTTCATCTAAATCGGTTCAGTAGTTTCGGAGCTTATTCGGTACAAACAAACAAATCTTTCCTCTTTAGAATATTAGTATAGACAAGCGACTCACCCTCGCTTCGCTCGGGTTCGTCCCTAGGTACGTTTTAATGGTTAGCATGGCATAGATAGGTTATATCCATACTAATATTATAAATGTGAAAGTGTGTTTGTTTGTCTTTCTTTCACGTCGTAACGGAGTGACGGATTCGCGTGATATTTTGTGTGGAGATAGTTGGAGGGCTGGAGAGAGACACAGGCTACTACTTTTACCGCGGGAGATTATCTCATTCCCACGGGAAAACACGTTATAATACAACCAAAAAAAAAAAATCAGAATTACTTGAAACTTGGTATTAATGTTCTTCATCTTCAATACAATTAAAAAAATACGTGTTTTAGCATTTTTCGAAATTCATCCCATAAGGGGGTAATATAGGGGATGAAAGTTTGTATGAAACCTACCTTTTTAGAGTTTTTTGTAGTTTCAGCGCGAGCGAAACCGCGGATTCTGCTAGTAGTAAATATATGCATAGGTACAAAATAATTTGTTTGACCTTTTTGATTTTCCAGCAGTTTTTTTGGGGTTTCCCGTGGGATAGATTTGTTTTTGCTAGTCCATACATATAATAAAATTGTAACCAAGCCGAATCTGTACATTAGGTATTTTTTGGAAAATCTTATTGAAATAAACATTATTATCGATACAGAGGCCGAATGTATAATTTTTAGAATTTTTGTCTGTCTGTCTGTCTGTTACCGCATCACAACAAAACTACTGGAAGGATTTTGATAAAATTTGGTATGGTAATAGCTGGTTATCCGGGTCAACATATAGGATACTTTTTACCGCGGAAAAAAATCTCATTTCTGAGAAAAAAATACAAAACTGTAATGTAAGAGTATACTAATATGTAAAACCTACGAATTTGGTTTTCGGTCATCTGAACGCGGGCGGAGCCGCGGGCGATGCTAGTATTATATATAAGTGTGAGTGAATGCCTAAGGCCGATCAAAGAATTATACTTATTTGAGAAAAAAAACGTGTGTGTATACTTATGTGCGCACGTAAGAAGTTATACTTCTTTGACGTAACAGAACAAAAATATCGTATCATCTTGAACATTTTACATTCATTATTTTTTTTCAAACGTGCCAAAAGAAGTATAACTTGAAAAATAAACGTACCGAAATCGAAAAATATGCCCGTTTTTCACCGCTATCACAAAAATAGCCCACCACTCTTTCTTTACTTTACTTCTGTGATAATAATGAAAAACTGACATTTTGGTGACACTTTATCAAATTTACATGTCAAATTACAGCTTTTTAGTTTTTAGTGTTTTGTGTTTTGAATGCATAATATATTTATTTATAATAATTTAAACACAGTATAATTGTATTTTTTCTTAGAGGTAATCACAACATGCGTAGATACAAAAGAAAACAATCAGTTTAATAAAAGGAAAGATAATAAGAAATTAAAAGCTGAAAAATATTATTGGAAAAATTAATATTAATAAATTATTGATAAGAAATAGAATTATTTTACAGTATTATTATAAGTAGTTTTATTATTATATATTATTTACATTAAAGAGAACAAAATAATAATAATATACATTTTTTGTTTCCAGCCGGCGGTTATTACGAGCAAATAACTCGGCCCGGACCCGAACTTCTGATCGCGAAGCAGAACGCTTTAGCGGCGCATCAACAGTTATGTGAGTCATTCATTTCATTTAGTTTATTATTCATATATTCCAAAAATGCCTCTTGTCTTGAAAAAAGTATGATTTTTCAGAAAATACACCTATATAGATAAAGTTAAAAAAACTTATCTAAATACAAAAGTTGATCCAAATCGTTAGAGCCGTTTCTGAGGTACACTAAATAAATTTATACGTTTGGCTCAGTTTGTAGTGGTACTTGCTGTGCCAGCGGTCGCGGGTTCGAGTCCCGTTGGAGGCATTCATTTGTGTGATTATCTGGTATCCATAACACAAACCTCGTAGCTTACCATGGAACTAGATGGCGTTGTGTGTTAATGTCCCAACATATTTATTTATATACAAGATATGTATATATACAAGAATTGTTCACTTAATATTATAATATATTTAATTTTCAGGGCAAAATTCAATGAAGCGGCCATTTTTCTACAGTGACAGTCAACATTACAATACACCCCAGTTGTTACACACTAGGTGTGAGGTGAGGCATTGTGTTATACATTCATATGTACAAAATATATTATTTTTGATTCCCCATATAAACTTTCATCCCCATTTTCACCCCCCTAAGGGATGATTTCCGGGATAAAAACTATCCTATATCCTTCCCGGGGTCTCAAACTATTTTACCATATTTCATCTAAATCGGTTCAGTAATAAAATGTGTTTCAATACTTCACTCCGGTTCGTCCCTAGTTTGCTTCCCCATTCAAACTTTCACGCCCATAAGGGATGATTTCCGGGATAAAAAGCATCCTATGTCCTTCTAAGGTTCTCAAACTATTTTCTTACCAATTTTCATCTAAATCGGTTCAGTAGTTCCAGAGATCCCTACAATGTCACAAACTCACAATCTCTATAATATTAGTATAGATGTATAGATGATTTTTTTTTAATTGAATTAATTTGTTTATTTCAGGACTTATCCAGGATCTTACAGTGATGAGAGACATTCCAAAGTAAAAGTTAATTAAAAACAAAATAATTCTCTATGCGACGATAATCTCTCGGTGGTTTTTAACTTTATTTTATAGATTATTTTCCATATTTATATGTATATTGTAAATATTTTGTTTTGTATTTAAAAAAAGAAAAAATCTTGTCTATGCTTTGAAGTTTCCTTTTGGCGGCAATTTTGTCTTTGACAGCTGACGGCACAGCGTTTTTGACTATATTGTGAAATTTAATTTCTAAAAATTAATATTTATATAATTTATTATTAGGTGCGGTTTCGACTTTCGTTGTTTTTTTGGTTAATGGCAGCTTTTCATGCGTGTTAATTTTTTTTTAAATTTCGAAATTCTAGTTTGAAAATATTGATTTTCTAAAGTTGTGATATAATATTAATATTATTTTCAAAATGATATTTTTGCTGTGCTGTTAAAATTTTCATTTGCATAAAAAAAGATATATTTTTTTTTGATCTTTGCATGAAATTATCTACGTCAATAAAAAAATGTTTTATGAAACGACAGAGTTTTTATATTTTTTTATTGCACAGACTATAAAAAAATTGTTGCCAGTAGTTTTTTTTTAATGTTATTATTTCATATATTTATTTATCAAATCTGATTTTTATATAGGTTATGTATAGTTTTGTTTTTTTTTCTTTAAAAATATATTTTAAAAAATTATTTATAATCAACAATATGGTTACCAATAATTGCGTTATCATTTTCGGTGCAGCATTCTTTTATGGAAATATCGCTGTGCTGTACCAATTTTGATAGAAATGTTTAGGAACGTGATACTTTATCGAATTTACGTGGCAATTATTAATAAATAAAGTACGTAGTGTAAGTTTTATTTTCGTCACAATTGGTTTTTTTTCAGTAATTTTTTTAGATCTTGCCAAAGTTGTATTTTTTTTTATTTCATTTTTTGCACAAATATTCACTGTCATAGACATGAGTGGATTGTAATTTAATTTATTTTCTACAATTTTTGTTTATATTTCCAAAGCAAAAATAAATTTTGATGAGGTTTACATAAATTACATAAACGTATATTATTATTATTTTTTTCATCTATCAATAGATTTGATATGATTTCTTTTTAATAAATTACTTCTACATGTCTATGGCATATAATGAAAATCCCGGTTAAGAATATAGTTTATCTTTATTTCTTTTATAAATGAAAAAATATATTTTATTTTACAGTTTTTGGTGCTCTTAAACTAACTTTTTTTCCGAATTTTTTGCATTTTTATATAGAAATAGTAATATCGAGTACAATTTTTTTTGGGTTAACGCACACTGTAGGCAAAACGCTAGTGTTTTTTTTTGTGGAAGAAATTTTTGTTAGTGTTTAAAAACAAATTATTTACCATAGTTCGTAAGTTTAGTAAAGCGGGATGGTAGATTGAACGGAGCGTGCACATTTTTTTTGTTGATTTTTTTTATATTTTTGACAATTTTTTTTCTGATATCAAAATTGTGATTGTATATTGGATGAATATTTATAAAAGATATATAAAGAAAAAAAAGATTATATTTTTTACCTGTGCGCTCTTTTTAGACCAAAGCTGTGAAATATAAGGAAGTTAGGGTGTTTTAAGGATAATTTACGAAAAAATAGTTTTACTCAATTTGCTGATATTGTGATAATCTCTAACCAAACTTAATTTAGTTAAAAAAACAAAAATACTACATTTTTTTCTTTGAATTGTTGCATAAGAGTAAAACTATATTATCGATGATAGATTTTTTGTGGATATTCCAAAAAATGTAATTTATTTTAAATAGTACTTAATTGTACCGTTTTTTTTAATATTTTTTTGGAATCTTCATAAAAAAATCTTACTTTTTAGTATGTAAGGAAGAGATGTTAAGTGCTACAAACATTTTGTTTATATATTTTTTACAGCAGTGGCCATTCAAATAAAATAAGTGGATTTTTAGTGTTGTTTGATTATTATAGCTACTCCCTAATTATATGCTACCGAAAATATGAGATATCAAAAAAAAGTATCTTAACACCTGACAATATATAGTCTGTTTTAAATATTTTATTTTTTTTATAAAGCACACTAACAATACACATATAAAACATTTCTGATAATCTTATCTATAATATAAAAATGAATCGCTGAATGTGTTGCTAAGCGCAAATCTCGAGAGCAGCTGAACCGATTTCGCTATATCTTTTTTTAGAATATTCCTTGAAGTGCGAGGATGGTTCTTACGGAGAGAAAAATTTAAAAAATTGCCTAAAAAAGTCTAAAAACAACACTTTTCTATACTCCCATACAAAAGATTCGTAATAAGACTTGAAAGTCAATTTGAACTTTAATACCATAACATAAAATTTAAGTGTTAGTGGAGAAGTTCCGGGAAGGCTAAACATTGATGGCAATTGAGTGACGTTAGAATCGTATAAATATTAATTTCAATATTTGTCGCTATTATTAAAAAAAAAAAATTTATATGGCTAACGCTGGCTAATAACTATTTATATCTATTTAAAACCCTTACCTAGCGACGAACCCGAGCGAAGCGAGGGTGAGCCGCTAGTTAGTAATATTAATTAAGTACCTGATATGTATATCTACGAGTATAACAAGTGTACATATCGTTCACTGTAAACAATAGTTAAAAGTATGAAAAGTTAAAAATTAATTACTACCTAAATTTAAATTATTGTTTTTTTTTAAAGTAATCTAATAGCCTACGTCCAAAAACAGAGGGTGAATCGTGAAAAATGTCAATGCTTGGTATCGATTTCTGAAGGTTATTATATTTAGCACAGTCTATACGTAAGACAGGGGCTTGGCTACCCAGGTTAGATCTCACTCTTAAATAGTGTCCGACTGAAAATGGATTTTTAGCCGAAAACGAAAAAAAGTTTCGGCTTAAGTCTTTATTTTCGGCGGAAAACGAAGCCGAAAAATGGAAACTGAAATCTTGTTTGTTTTTTAAAATACAAATTGTAAATATAGGCTTTAAAATAAATAAAACACCGTAAACACGTTAATTCCATTAGAGCAGCCATACTCAACCATTTTTTTATAGGAGCCACAAACACGTTTCAGTCATGGTGTCGCGGGCCGCAGACAAAAATTATTTAGGTCTTAATTAAAGCGTAATTCCAAGTTAACGATGTAGTTTTTAACAAAGATATGTTATATTGCGATTTTTGATGCTGCCGCGTGCGGCCCGCGGGCCGCAGGTTGAGTAGAGCTGCATTAGAGGATAGAAAACCATTTTGTATCGGTGGATTATATAATATAGGCAGTGGTAGCCCAGTGGTAACGCGCTTGCTTGGAAAACTGAGTGAAGCGAGTTCAAATCCCGGAATTTTCATGTGCGAATCATTTCCAGCATTATTGTCTTCCGGTGAAGGAAAACATTGTGAAACCTGTTGGGGTGGGCCTACCTTCATATGAGGGGAATCAGGCCACAGTCCATCACGCTGGCCAAGTGCGGGCGGATTGAGCGTGACTCGAAAACTCGCTAGGTTCTCTCAGACATGCAGGTTTCCTCACGATGTTTCCTTCACCGTAAGGCAAGTGGTAATCATGTTGGAAATGATTCGCGCATGGAAATATCAGAGGTACGAGACCCGGGATTTAAACCCACTACACTTGGTTTTTCAAGCAAACGCGTTACCATTGGACTACCAATGCCATAAACTTATATTCCATAATAATAGTTGAATAACTTTCGAAGATTTTCACAAAAAAACATAATAAATAATTAATTAGCGACTCACCCTCGCTCCGCTCGGGTTCGTCTCTAGGTTCGTTTTAACGGTTAGTATATAGGTACGTCTCAAAGATGAGATATTTTCCCGCAGTAAAAAGTAAATATGTGTTGACCCCGATAAACAGCTATCATCATACCAAATTTCATCAAAATCTGTCTAATGGTTTTCTCGTGATGCGTTCCCAGACAGACAGACAAAAATTCTAAAAACTATAGATTCGGCCTCTGTATCGATAATAATGACTATTTCAATAAGATTTTCCAAAAAATATTTAATGTACAGATTCGACTCAAGAACTTTATAATATGTATAGATACCTATAGATCGATGCATGTTAACGAAACAGGAAATTCGTAACAGCAACAATTTATACAATTTTAGCTTTAATATATTATTAGTTCATTACATAAAGTGACCGTATGTTACCTTGTGCGTGCATTTTAATTATTATCATCCATTGTTTTCCAACGGTCAAATGTCATGTTCACGTATAAATAATAATGTAATTACCGACGTATGAGCATACTTCTACACTTATAATATTTCTAGGTTTCTACATTGTATATGAAATATTATCAAAATGTGCTTAGTTTGCTAGTTTGCGCGTCATTTAGCCTTTTCAAAACATATCTATTATTTTTTAATACAATATCTATACATATTATAAAATTGTAAGTGATCGCTGTCTGTACACGGAAGATATTTGAGAAAAAACATTTTTTTTGGGGTCTTTATTAACGCAATACACCCCAAAATAAATGATTTTTAGAATTTCTGTCTGTTTGTCTGTGCGTTTGTGCGCGCTAATCTCAGTAACGCGTTAACCGATTTGGATACTGTACGTTTTCTTTGAAAAGCAAATAAATAAATACATAAGTTTAACTGATAGTTTCCTTAACTTTCAGTTTAACTGTCAGTTAGCTTAACTGTCATTTTTTCGCTAACTGTACATTTTTTCCAAAATCTGTATATGCAGTTCAGAATATCTCAAAAAGTTATCGATAGTCTCCTAAAAACGTTTTCCTGTAACTACAGCAGTTAAGATACCTGCCCTTACTGTTCCGTCTCAAAAATTCATCCTGTATAATAAAATTCTGATTCAAATCTGTACATTAAACATTTTTTGGTAAATCTTATTGAAATAGTCATTATAATCGATACAGAGGCCGAATCTATAATTTTTAGAATTTTTTGTCTGTCTGTCTGAACACATCATGAGAAAACCACTGGACAGATTTTGATGAAATTTGGTATGATAATAGCTTGATGATGAGGATTATCCGGGTCAACATATAGGATACTTTTTACTGCGGGAAAATACCTATCTCATCTCTGAGAAAGCTATACTAAAAGTTAAAACGTACAATAGGGACGAACTTGAGTGGAGCGAGGGTGAGTCTCTAGTCTATAATAAAGCTTGTATTTTTTTTAAATAAGAATTAAAAAAAACATCTCAAGACACGGTCTTTACGATTTCATTATAAGATATAGATAACTATAATTAAACGTGTATAGTGTATACCTATAAATAATCTAGCGAAAGATTTATAAACGAGGGTAAATCCCCGTTAAAATAAATTGGGACGTAAAAACATACAGACCGACAAAAACAGACTAATTATTTAATTTATATTTCAGATAAAAAACAGTTGAAATTAAATTCATACGTTAGCGAACCTGTGATATATGGAATAGAAGTTCGATGACATCATTGTCTTTTTTTAAAGTTCTACTTCTTTTGGCGTGAAAGGGAAGAAAATATGACGGATTTTTTAAAATGCGACAGATTTAGACTACAGTATGAAGTTAGACATTATTAGCTACAGTGTGAAGTTAGTCGTTAAACCTCCTTTTAGTATAGTGTGAAGTGATGTATATATTATATATTCAAGATATTTATTCCGGTATTTCTATATACACAATACGTGTTTTATATCGATAAAAATTATTAATTATTACAAGCTTTTGTTTAGTTTTATCTGTCCCGGGGTCTGTCTGTAATCAAATTGGGAAGTTAATTTGACCCATTTCCGTGTGTTCGTTTGAGTTGAAATTTGGCACAAATGTTTGGTTACACGATTACCTAAATGCCGCCATTTTTAATCCAATATAGCTAACATTAGCAAAAAAGGATGGCGATTTATTATTTCCATAGTGACCCTTATTATATGGGCACCAAATGAAAGGGCTTGATGAGCGAAACACCATAAGTGACGTCATTGTAAATCCAATATGGCGGACTCCCAAAGACGGCCGCCATGTAATTTTATGCACCCATGATATGGATATCAAATGAAAGGGTTTGCTGAGAAGATTACGAATAAAACAAAAATTAAAAAAAAAAACATTCATAAATAAAAACAAAACAAAAAAACGAGCTTTTGTTTAAATACCTACCTACTCTAAGAAAAATCAGAAGTATAACTGCTTTAACGCGTAGATACATAAGTTTATTGTGTTACATAATAGTTAATTTAACGAAGATCCGTCGGAAATAACAGCACCTATTATTTTATACAGCCTTGTATTAATTTTAAACATAGTTATCTCCTTATTTTTATTTTTGCACAACATCTCACTGACCGTGACAATCAAAGCTTTTAATGGATGAAGGTTCTTCTCAAGGCCGTGACTATATCTTGCTATTCCTAATTCGATAGCAAACAAAAAAGAAAACTAAAAGGCTCTTATAATTGAAACAATAGATAAAATATGTTATTTAAAAATACAATTGAATGAAATAAAAGCAGTCATGAGGTCTGCCGATAGAAGTGAAAACTTAAAACTATAAACAAACTGTTGTTATTTTTAGATATTCATATTAATTGTTTGATCTTAAATTAAAAGTAAATTAAAACTGTTTACATTTATCTGGTTTTGACATCTATGGGCACCCTGAGTGTTATCGTTAACACGTCACGTGACCATGTCGATGACGACTTACATGAATTTATTCCATATACAAAAAAACCTGCCTATATAATATAAGCTTTCACTTCGAAAATTAAAAATAGATACAACATGTTATTATAAATAATATATTACATTTGTTGAAAGTAATATTTTGTTTCCGCTACCTTGGCATAATATGAAAAGAAAAAAAAAGACGCGAACTGTCAGGTTTTACCGCTCTATTTTAACCGTACTTTTTTTGTTTGTTACCTCAGAACTCCGATGTTTATGCAATTTGGAAAATCCCATATTTGAGTATACTTTCCATCTGGTACCATTTAAATTTCAAGAAAAATTCCATCGTAAGGTTAAAAATAGTAAATGAAATTTTGTATTGGACTTAATTACTTACTTTTACTTGTCATATCGACTTGAAACTTTGCAAGTGTTTCTATTTCCGTTGATAGTACAGTGGTTCGGTATTGTTGACCTGATCTGATGGTAAGGCCAGAAGGTGGATAGGTGGAACTCTTCAACGGCTAATAGTAGATACTTTGAGTTTGAGCTTATTTAGTTCGATTTGACAAGCCTGATACGATAGAATTGGACTTTAGAGTCTGATTGACGACACGTTTGGCTCAATTTGTAGTCTGCTACTGCTACTTGCTGTGGCAGCGGTCACGGGTTCGAGTCCCGCTGGGGGCATTCATTTGTGTGATGAGCAAGAATATTTGTACTCCAGTCATGGGTGTTTATTTTATAATATGTAAGTATATATTTAAAGCTATATATTATGCGTAGTGTATCAACTATCTGGTATCCATAACACAAGGCTCGTAGCTTACCATGGAACTAGATTGTGCTGTGTGTTAATGTCCTGACATATTTATTATTATTATTATTTCTTATTATCTGACGTTTGTATGTATTATCTTATCTTATATCTTATATATAATCTGTCTGTATAAATATTATAAATGTGTTAATGTACCAACATATTTATTTATTTATTTATTTTTAGTGTTAGTAACAAAAGCGATTATAATTTCAGTTTATTAGTCTTCATGCATAAATTAATATTTAAATAATAAATGAATATTTTATTAAGTACTTTATCTTACGCTAATACTAAGTATACATTAATATATTTTTTTAATAATAAATTATTAATGTATACTTAGTATTAGCGTAAGATAAAGTACTTAATAAAATATTCATTAAAATTGAAAACATAAAATTTGACTTCAAAACACCAAAAATTAACCAAAGTCAAAGTAGTATAAACACGTGTTAGTGATAAAAATTACCAAAAGCTGGTGATGTCTGTATTTGATGTTAAATACGAAAAAAGAAATATATATATATATATATATATATATATATATATATATATATATATATATATATATATAAACGAACATAGAACCTCCTTCTTGGAAGTCAGTTAAAAAGCACCGGAGCAAAGCCAGGCTCTGTAGCTAGTTTTAAAAACATGGCTCTCTGATTTTACTTCTTTAACCCCCGACGCAAAAAGAGGGGTGTTATAAGTTTGACGTCGATGTCTGTCTGTGTGTGTGTGTCTGTCTGTGGCATCGTAGTTCTCAAACGGATGGACCGATTTCGATGCGGGTTTTTTCATTTGAAAGCCAGTTTCCTTGCGGTGATTCTTAGCTATGTTTGGTTAATATTGGTCCAGCAGTGTAAGAGTATCAGCTTTCATCAGCATTTTGGCGTATGATTACTCGATTAAGTGGTTCACGCGTGCCAGTGTAATCGTTAAATGACAATTAGTAATTTGCGTAGGGGGTTTATCAAATTTTTAATTTATAATTATAGCTAGTTTTAGATTGTAAATACTTAAATATGGTTTTTAATCGCTTTTATTAGTTTCACGTATAACTGTAATTTGTCTATCTTTACATATAATAAAACTGTAGAGGCTGAATGTCTGTACATAGAAAAAAAAATGCTAAAAACCGAGTCAGGGGGATGTAAGAAGAGAAATAGAACAAATCCAGATTTTTATTTTATTTTTTTGTTTCTCTGTCTGTTTGTCTGTTTGTACTCATTATCGTATTGCTTTAAGACTTTGTATATAGCAATATTAAGTCCGGGTACAAAAATTTGACACCGAGCTGATCTGATGATGAAGCCAGGATGTGGAGAATGGAACTCTTCAATGGCTATCAATAAAGCCTTCGAGTTTCGGCTCATTCGAATTGTTTAGAACAAAATTACATCCAAATCGGTCCAGCCGTTTCAGCTTCAAAGAGTAACAAACATACACACATACGAACTACCACATTTATAATAGAAACCTGATAAGCTAATTCCTAGCGTTTTCATAAGCAATCTGGAATATACATAGGTTCATACATCAACTGTAATCCGCGGAAATCGATCCCGCGACCTTCGTAACAAAGCGAATCAGACTAGTAATTGCGTCTCGGTTGTTATAAGTATAGAAAAAAATATTATTTATCTTGTTTAACCTGTTTTGCAATAGAATGCGACATTTAAATATCGATGTTACAAGTTTTGGGACGTACCAAGAAATAGTCTATCTTAGCGCAACCCTTATATATATTACATGCTGAAGCATCCCTTTCTGGTCATCCTTTGGATTGTTCAGGTAAAACAGCTGTGGCGATTTTGATGAAATTTGAACTGTAATTAGTAATAAAAACTTAAAAAAACAATAGAAATCGACTTCCAGGCACTAAAATGTAAAAAATAACTAAATGGAGGTTTTCATTTAGAGTAGATACCTAATCAGATATTTTCGAAATATATTAAGATATGCTTTGCATCGGCTGGCACCGACTTCGATTTTTTAAAATCAAATCATTCCATTTTGGAAATCGGTTTCTACTTTATTTTTAAGTTTTTATTTTTCCATTTTTAGTGTAGACGTAATAAGCAGTTAATTTGTAAGAAGAAAGTTTTTTAATAAAATATTCGATTAAACAATTTATTAAAAAAATATATTTATTATTGATTTTAAAAAAAACCACTCAACTGATTTCGATAAAAATTTGCATAGGAAGTATATACCCTTTGACTGTCTGTTACCGCATCACAGAAAAACCACTGGAGGGATTTTGATGAAATTTGGTATGGTGATAGCTGGTTATCCGGGTCAACATATAGGATATTTTTTATCGCGGGAAAATGTCTTATTTCTGAGAAAAAATACAAAAACTGCAATGTAAGTATACTAATATGTAAAACCTAAGAAGTTGGTTTTTGGTCATCTGAACGTGGGCGGAGCGCGGGCAATGCTAGTATAGTAGTATGTTATATAGCTACTAGAGGTTCTAGGTCACCATCGGTACAGTCAACAGAAAAAATATAAGTAAACAAATATTCTCATATTTATAAACATCTAGCAGAACCCGCGGCTTCGCTTGAACTAAAACTACAAAAATATATTTAGTAGGTAAAAAGGTAGTTTCATATAAACTTTCATCCTCTATTTTATCTCCTTATAGAATGAATTTCGAAAAATGTTAAAACAAGTATTTATTTAATTTTTTTGAAGAACATTAATACTAAGTTTCAAGTAATTCTGATCATAAATATCTTTTTTGGATTGTAATAAAACGTGTTTTCTTGTAGGAATCTCCCGCGGTAAAAAGTAGCCTATGTTACTCTCCAGCTCTCCAACGATCTTCACACAAAATTCACGCCAATCTCTCCCTCCGTTTCGACGTGAAAGAACGACAAACGAACAAACAAACAAACAATTAAACACACTTCACATTTATATAATTAGTATGGATTTAGAAATTAACTATTTAGCTAAATTACACCATCTGTACTAAAGATTTATCCTTGTTTAGCTCTGATGCTTCGCTAGGTCACAATAATTATGTTAATAATATTATAGTACCCTATATGTAGCCAGATCTTATTTGTGACAAAATTTCATCCAAATCTGTTCAGCCGTTTCAACGTGACGAAGCAACAAATATATACACATACACATTTCTTCATACGTAATATTATTCCAATATAGCATAACATAGAGCTATATTTTTGTGTTCAGCCCTTTTAAACATCCCACTGCTGGGGGCGGGCCTCCCTTCAATACGAGGGGGATCAGGCCATAGTCCACCACGCTTGTCAAATGCGGGTTAGCGGACTTCACATGTCTTCCTAGAACTTGCTAGAAGTCAAAAAAATACCATTTCTTTGTAAAAAAAAGTAATAGATATTTTAGTCCCACGAAAAAAATTTTTTATCAAAATATTGCTTAAGAGTTGATGATTCATATATATTTTTTTCAAGCATTTCGATCAAGCCATAAACGAGAAGTACGCTTTAGAAAGTAGCTCTTTGAACTAATAGATAGCTCTTTGAAATAACAGCTCTTTGTTCTAATCGCCTTAACCGGTTTTGATGATTCATACCTTAAATTCGTCTGGACAACGAGTGTTATAGGTACACAATGTATTCATACGAACATTTTTTATAATAGCGGTGTGTATGTATGTCTCCGACTGCATAATACTATGTTCCTCCATCAACTTGTTCTCATCTTTTTAGTTGGCTTCTTACGTAGTCGGGTTGTTGAAGTTATACTTTTTTTGGCACGTTTGGAAAAAAATATGAGTGTAAAATTTTTACGATGCGCGCGCACACCGACAGCCAAAAAGCGACATAATGAAGTTAGCTGCATTCTTTTTACAAACAGATAGTTGTGACATACGGCATGAAATCTTTAGAATTTTTTTTTTACTAGCAAACTTCTTACGTGCATACTGAAGGACTCACACACGTTTTTTTAATTGGATTTTTTTCCTTACTATAATAATATCCGTAAGCTATTTTTATTTACGAAAATATATTTACTTATTACAGTAAAGAGTGTTCTGTTAATATTTATTTATATAATATTTTATAAGTGTTTTATTTAAAAGATTCTTCTTTGACTTCATGTTTAGTTCTATGATACTCTATCTATATTTTTCCTGAGTAAAGAGGAAAAGTTTGTGAGATTATGAGTTTGTGACGTTGTAGGGGGTAATCTCTGGATCTACTGAACCGATTTAGATGAAATTTAGTAATAAGATAGTTTGAGACCCTGGGAAGGACATAAGATACTTTTTATCCCGGTAATCATCCCTTAAGGGGGTGAAAATAGGGATGAAAGTTTGTATTGGGAATCAAGCTAGGGACGCACCCGAGCGAAGCAAGGGTGTCGCTAGTACCATAATACAATACATCGCTTAGAGATTAATATTGAAAACTAGCATTTCCCGCGGCTCCGCCCGCGTTCAGATGACCAAAAACCAAATTCTTAGATTTTACATATTAGTATACTCTTAAAATTCAGTTTTTGTATTTTTTCTCAGAAATGAGATATTTTCCCGCGGTAAAAAGTATCCTATATGTTGATCCGGATAACCAGCTAACATCATACCAAATTTCATCAAAATCTGTCCAGTGGTTTTCTCATGATGCGTTCCCAGACAGACAGACAGACAGCCAGACAAACAAAATTTTTAAAAACTATAGATTCGGCCAAGTATCAATAATAATGTTTATTTCAATAAGATTTTCCAAAAAATATTTAATGTACAGAACCGGCTTAGTTACAATTTTATTACCTATATGTAGAGATTATAAATACAAAATGTATCGTATGTATAGTACACCTGAGTGAAGCTAGTGTAAGTCGGTCGGTAATTATAATTATCATCATCTTCATCATTTCATCTTCATAATCATCTAATCTAATATATAAAATTTCCATGTCACAATGTTAGTTACCGTACTTCTCCGAAATGGCTTTACCGATTTTTACCAAATTTTATATGCGTATTCAGTAGGTCTGGGAATCGGCTACTATCTATTTTCCATACCCCTAAGTGATAAGTGTGGACCACCCTAGGGACAAATCCGAGCGGAGCGAGGGTGAGTCGCTAGTAAATATTATAAATGCAAAAGTTTTTGTATGGATGTTTGTTACTCAATCACGCCAGAACGGCTGCACAGATCTGGATGAAATTTGACACAGAGATAGATTATAGTCTGGAATAGCACACAGGCTACGCTTTATCCCGGAAAAAATTACCGTTCCCGTGGGATATTCATACCAACGGTTACAACGTATCTAGAGAAGAAAACGTGCGAAGCGAGGGTGAGTTGCTAATAATTGGAATATTTTTAAAATATTATTTCAATACATTATTTCTGTACACACGTACTAGCGGGACGGTCAGTGCAACAAGCAATCCGCGCGGTGACGGACGCGTGCTTTTTCGTGAAACTCTTATAAACTTATAGTTACATTGTGAGAAAAGAAATTCTAGGTGAGTTTCGTTTTTACATTAGATAATATATATTGCCTTTTTTTAATTTTAATTATTTTAATTTTTTTAACTTCTAATTTATCTTTTCGGATTTTTTCTCAGATCCATTTTGTTGTTTGGTTCCCGATATTTTGAAAAAAAAAACCGAAAAGATAAATTTAGTTTGTCAAATATTCGTGTAAATCTAAAAAAGTATTATTTTCTAATTAAGGTTAATGTGCGATGAAATATTTTTAATTTTCCATGATAACAATTATGTTTCGATTTGCTTTTTTTTATAAATAGATAAAATCTAAAATATATTTTTTTAATTAATGCTAATATTTGTGGCGTAAAATTATTATGATGACGAATATTTTTTTTGAATTGAAATTAATAATTAATAAAAAAAATGTATAAAATATTATTTTATGTGGTATAAAATATAATTTACGGATACTGAAATTAAATATTTTTTTGTATAACAATTATCTATTTTTAAATTTCATGATCATATTTTTTAATTGATTAATTAAATATTTTTTTATTAAAAAAAAAAGACCTTATGAATTATGTTTGTCAATCTGTTCAATATATGTACCTACGAGTATGTATTCAATAGATACTTCACTTGAGTGCAATAAAGCTGCTTTTATATAAAATCATCGTCATCGTTATTATACTCGTACAATAAATATCAAATAACATAATTTACAAAATTATCGTAATAAAAACATTTGATGGCACATTTGGCTCAGTTTGTAGTGACCCACCCTACTTGCTGTGCCAGCGGTCGCGGGTTCGAGTCCTTCTGGTGGCATTCATTTGTAAGAGAGTACGAATGTTTGTACTCCAGCCACGGGTGTTTATATTAAATATTCCCGACGTTTCCTTAAAAATTATTACTCCTGTTAAAACGGGAAAAAATATTAGTGTGTTTTTTATTGTCTTCATTAATTAATCATCGTAACATTTTTATTGCCGGTTACTGTTTTTTTTTAATATTTATTTTATATTATGTTCTACCATTATTTGACAGATTAAGGAAGTATACGAACTATTTACAAATAATTATATTTGCCTTTTATCTTTGTCTGTGGTTTGTCGATGAATATTTTTTTAAACAAGCAGAAAATTAAAATATAATAAAGAAGACGTTGTAAAAATGGCGACGAACTGACTGTAAACTGTATTGAAACAATCTAAATTAACACATAACTAAAAAAGCAATATTTAAAAAAATACGTTTCTTTACATCAGCATAATTTTCCCAAAACATATGTTATAATTAAATAGATTTTTTATAAAACATCCATTGTTTGTACTTCTTCTCCTTTATAATTCTTATAAACGACTTGACCGATTTTAATATATTTTTTTGTATACTTAATTAGTGATATTAAGAGCAATCTAGATAGTTCTGCTGGACTCTGAAGGTGGTGCTGTTGTTGAGATTAATTTTTTTTTCCATCTGTCCGTCTGTCCGAAGTAAATAAAAGAAAATTATTGCTAGTGAAAACAAAAATCTCTATATCTTTAAAAAATATCTACATTTAATATTAATGCTTAAAATACATTAACATAGGAAAAAAACAAAACACTCATGATACTTATGAAATGCAAATCTAGTATTCTAGATACCTACTCAGATTATCTAAGGTCTGCTTTATGTTACAGTAAAACTCTTCTTTAGGTTCAAAACATTGTTTACCGACTTCGCAGAAGGAAATGCTCAATTACAAGTACTAGATTAGGTATTAACTTTTTAAACTTCCGACTAACATTTAGTCTAAACTTTTTTTTTAGAATAAATGTTTTTAATTTTGAACATATCTTCCGGTTTTAATTTTACAAACAAATTATACAATAGTACAGACGCATACACACTGTAATTATATTTATACGAGATTTTTTAGTATAACGCAAATTATGTATAAATATTTTTTGCGTGGTTTTATTTTAGTTGATATTAGTAGAAACAAAAATATCAGTTTAGCCATTTCAGAATTAATCGGAACAAACAGACAGACATTTAAAAAAACCGTGTTCTTTCTTATATAATCAGTATAAAATTTCATAAGCTCTTATTTTGACATTACAAACACATATGTAGTTCAATTTTATTTATCTGTAGATATAGATACTTATATGGCCAATGGAAATATTAGTCGCGCTCAGAATTCGAACCCGCGACCTTTGTGTTAGATGTTATTTAGACCACGATGTTTAATCAGTTTTAGCTAAGCATATTTTTATATAACTATTCGAATACGAAACCTTGATTTCAATCTTTTCACTTCCGGAGTGAAGTACGTGAGATTCCTTCGATACATTGTTTTATTGTAAACAAAAGTGTAACAAACTAATATGAAGGTCGCTGGTTCGATTCGGGGGAATGTTTTTATTGATTTTATGATTTAGCCCTTTTTAACGTCCCACTGCTGGGAGATGGCCTCCCTCAATACGAGGGGGATCAGGCCTGCAGGTTTCTTTACGATATTTTCCTTCACTGTAATACAAGTGGACTTGTGCGAGAGTGCGAGATTTGAGATTTGAACCCGTTTCATTAGGTTTTCCAAGCGAGCGCGTTATTATTGAGCCATCGGTCATGTCTTATCGCATAAGTGATATTCATGTTAACTAACATCAAAGTGGAGTTTTGCCTGTGCCGGATTTAACCTCAGCTCCGCCCCTGGGCACCGTAAAAAATGCCGCCCTATTATCGATATTTTGCATAAAATAGGTAAAGTTTCGATAAAGTTTTATTTTTTTTTAATTATAAATTTTTTGAAAGGTGCAAAAAAATGACTTATAAATGATTTCAATTTTTCGAAAAATGTACTAGTTAATTATTCATTTTTTGAAAATAAATAAAGCGTTTTCGATAACGCGAAATTTTTTTTCCGCCCTCCGAATTTTGCCGCCCCTAAAAATTTGCCGCCCTGGGCACTAGCCCCGAGTTCCGCTAGTATAAATCCAGCGCACTGTTTTACTCAATAAATAAATCGAGCTTGGCCCAATATATGTACATTTTAAGAAAATGTATAAAGCTTGTTGATTCAAAATTAGTATGAATTATGATTTTAAACCAATTTTCCAGTTGTATGATTCATACAAAAACATTATTACTGAAACCTTCGTCATACAATACCTATTGTGTATGGAAAATTATGAAACGATTGGTAATTTATAATCGACCAGTCTTCACATCGGCGGTTCATTTCGCTCGGACTTCCCATACAATAATATAATTACACAGTAATTAAATAGATACTTGTTTCACAAAAGAAGTTATAATTTTTCCTTCTAAGTATTTCACAATTTGACGCAGTAGCTTTTGAATTATTATCGATTCTCTACATTACAATACAATAGTAAAGAGGTTCTCAAATAGTGGTCCGCGGAACCCTAGAGTACCGTGGAAAAGTCACAGGGGTTGCGAATTCCGTCCGAGAGTCAAATAAAACGTTGAAGACTAATTTTAGTGCTAGCTACATATAATAAAATTCTGAGTCGAATCTGTATATTAAATACTAGCGACTCACCTTCGCTTCGCTCGGGTTCGTCACTAGCTTGATTCTCCATACAAACTTTCATCCCCATTTTCACCCTCTTAAGAGATGATTTCCGGGATAAAAAGTATCCTATGTCCTTCCCAGGGCCTCAAACTATCTTCTTACCAAATTTCAATCCGCTTTAATAGATCCAGAGATTACCCCCTACAACGTCACAAAACTCACAATCTCACACATTTTACCTCTTTATAAAATATAGAATATACATTATTATGATAATACGAGGGGGATCAGGCCATAGTCGACCACGCTGGCCAAGTGCGGGCGGACTTCACATGTCTTTCGAAAACTTGCTAGGTTCTCTCAGACATGCAGGTTTCCTCACGATGTTTTCCTTCACCGTAAGGCAAGTGGTAATCACGTTGGAAATAATTCGCACATGAAAATATCAGAGGTGCGAGACCCGGGATTTGAACCTGCTTCATTCGGTTTTGCAACTTCGCTACCACTGCCTCTACCAGATTTAACCTGAACCAAATATAAATAGACAAGAAAAGACAAAGAATAAAGCTAGTTTTTAAATAAATTTTGAAATATACGCAATGCATATGTTAATATTTAATTTTATTAAATATTAAAAGGTGTTTGTTTCAACGGGGTCTAGAGTCAAATAATTTAAAATTTTAAACATGACTCTATATCCTGTCTATGTTACTGTTAAATAGTGAATATGGTTTGTGTTAATAATTATCATAAAATATGTTTCAGGGGTAACTATTGGTAAAAATTAATTATACATTAAAAATTAAAAAAAAACCCCTACGCAAATTGTCATTTAACGATCTTACTGGCACGTGTGACGCACTCAATCGAGTAATCATATGCCAAATTGCCTTACATCATTTTGGAAAAGAGCTGATACTCTTACACTGCTGGACCGATATTAACCAAATAAATAAAAAAATATATATATAAAAAAAAAAAACGATACAACACATAATATAAAATCGATTTTAATATTCGATTTAGGTTGCAATTTAAGCTAATAAAAGCAAATTAAAAACGCAAATAGGAAATAGGTTCAACATTTTATCTATTATTTTTAACTATTTTATCTATTATTTCAATATAACGATCGAGAAGCTGTTTAAATATTAATTAATATCATCGCAGTAAGCCACCTTGAGTTGCAATCACAAGCAAAATTTAACTTACTTCCTAGAAAACCAAGTAAAGGTCAATGACGTCGGTATCTAATTAAGGTTCAAAATGTAAATAAATAATTATATCTATGCTGTAATTTATTAGAATAGTTCTGTATAGTTTTTATATATTTATCGATCAATATATAAGTTACAAGCGACTCGCCCTCGTTTCGCTCGGGTTCGTCCCTAGGTACGTTTTAACTAACCGGTAATTATAATATATAGACTATAATACATTATAATATATAATATATATCTTAAAACCTTCCTCAATAAATGGGCTATCTAATTCAAAATTTTT